ATTTATATTATATATAAACCTTACATCAATCTTACCAGCCCCAATGGTTTGAACGTTAGTGTAAGTTTATTTGGTTGAGTGTGGACTGATAAATGGTGCACAGACGTTTATTAAATATAGAAGTTGAATTCATCTTTTTATAAATTGAATAATCTTTTGAAATTTTTCTGATCTTCAGCACAAGCACTTTACTGAAGACATTCAGACCCGGCAGTACCGCTCTCTGGAGGTTCTGCTGGGATCGGGGTACAGTACACCCGCTGACATATGGAGCACAGCCTGCATGGTGAGAAGCTACACGTGGTCTTTCATCAGTTTGTTAAATCTGCATTACTTCTACATAAATCGACAGGCACCGTTGTGAGATCAGGTAAATCAATTTGGTAACAATTCAGACCTGATATCGGATGCTCTTTCTCTTTTCAGGCATTTGAATTGGCCACTGGTGATTATTTGTTTGAGCCCCACTCTGGTGAAGATTACTCCAGAGATGAAGGTAATGCAATATTTCTTCTTTCTGCCTGAAATACAAAAATTATGATTGTTTCCTGCATTACATTTATTGAGGAAAGATGGTACAGTGATAATTAATCTGGATTACAGATGCATGTGCATGCCTACAGTAAAGGACATACCTAATGATTTCAGTTTTAATGTGACTGACAATTTACTTTGTCATATTAATGTCTCAGTACTGGCACTATTTAATAGAATTTAAATACCTAATTATTTAATTATTTATTGTATGTTGTTTTCTTCTATTCTAATATGCATTGAAATTTCAGTGCTTTAAGAGTTTGAGTAATCCTGTGGTTATTTCCCTGCTAACAATTAGAGCCTGCTGTTAAAATGCATGGAGACCCTGTCTCTTCTATAAACTTCCTTTTCATATTCACTTCCTCCTCCTCCACCTTTCGCCCACTACTTATGCCTCTTTTATTGACCCATGTTTATCTGTTCCTCCTAGTGTTCTATTCTTAGTTGATGCTGTAACTAAATGTTCTAAAACAGAAAGATGCATATTTTGCATGCTTTAGAAATGGATTGAGTGTCGGAAGAATTTGTAAACTTAAAACCTAATTTATTACCCATCAGTCAAGCTTCGTTAGCAGTTTCTGTCATCTGAGATCTAATTGTGTTTACACTGGAGTGTAAATGCTGTTTAAACAGATCTTTGGGAGTTATGTTAGTCTTGATCAGAATTTGCATGTTTTGAGCCACTATGTGGTTGTTTAATAGATACTCATTACTTATCAAGTGAAATTTCAGATTATTCTATTGATTTCAAAGGCGAATCATTTCATGGCATTTGATAAGTATAAAGGTTACATAGATTAAGCATCTGGTTGTAAATTGTGCATTGTGGTGCTTAAATTTATTGTTTTTGTATATCTGCAAGGTATTTAGCAGAATCTGGTCAGACAAGAAGTCAAACTGGAGAGACAGCTATAAACCAGTAATGATTAATTATGCTCCTGCTTAGAACATATTGTGTTCTGACTCTTGTGGTAGACCACATTGCACTGGAATCAGCTGATGTAATTTTCCTAATTATGGAGTGAGCAGAATTAGATCACACTTCAAACTTCTTCCAGTTTAAGTCATCTCAAAGAGGAAGGTAGCTATTGGATTTTCCTATTGGTGTAGAGAACATTGCTTATCTGTGTGTCTCATGTTTTTTTCTGTCACCATCCCATCCTTCATGTCCTTCAAGTCATGCCTCTGTGGTCGGGTTGGGTATTTTTTTTTTATTATATTGTTTAGTCTTGTAATCGCATTTACATTAATATAAAATATTACATCTATATTTTATCAGTTGAATGATGTATATAAAAAGTTCAAATTAAATTCAAGTGTCTAATATATATATATATATATATATATCTGTATCTGCCATCAAAAAAGTACATATCGGTCAACAACAAGTCTGTCTGTCTGTCATCTTTTTTTGTCGGTTTTGTGGTATCAATCTGAATTTTAATATTTAACGTTCCCTTTATGGACTGTGTGTCCCAAAGGTTTAGTGGTCATAATGCAAAAATATAACTCCGAATTGCCATCTGAATCAAATATTCCATAGAGCCATGAAACAAACATTTATATGCCGACTGGAGACACTGATGTAAGACACCCTGTTTAGCTTGTAATCTCTCATTCTGGCCCACTGTCATTTTCCTCGAGTTTGTCCTTTTTTTTTTTTTTTTTTTTT